AGGGCCAAAAGTAGGACTTCCAGCCAAGATGGAGGCATAGGTAGATATACTTTGCCTCCTCACACAACCAAAAGGACAAATTAAAAAATAACAAGAACTGCCAGAAAATCGAACTGTATGCAAGTCTGACAACCAAGGAGGTAAAGAAGAAGCTTTCATCCGGACTGTAGGAGGGGCTAAGACAGGCAGCAGAGCAGAAAGGGCCAAAAATAGGCAACAAAATTTTGAAGAAATCACAAGATATCAAGACTTCATAAAACTACAATAACTTAAAAACTGTGATAATGTTGCAGAGAAGCCCTAACAACTAACAAAATTAAAAAGAGAGCCCAGAAACAGACCTTAAAATATAAGGAAACTTTGTGTATTAGAGAGTGACATTACAAAGCAGTGGAGAAATGATGGACTATTCAATAAACGATGCTAAGACAACTGGCTATTGGTATGATAGAAATTAGATCCCTTTGTCATAAAATTTTTTAAAAATTTCAGATGGATTCAAGACCTAAATATGAGATATATTAATATATATGTAGTCATTGTAAATGAAGTTAAAAGACAAGCCAAAACTTGAGAACAAATATTTACAGTGTTTATAACCAAAGTATTAGTATCTAGAATGTGTATATGTGTGTGCATATGTATGTGCCTGTGTGTATGACCCTTAAAAACAAATAAGTTCAAACAACCCCACAGAAAAATGGACAAAGGCTATCAATAGGCAATTCACAGAAGAGACTGTAGGGTAAACAAAAACATAGGAAAGGATGCTCAACCCCACTTTAAATTTTATATAGATATATACACCATGGGGGGATCCCAAAAAACCCTGGAATTTATTTATAAAAAACTGTGTATTTATTCTTAAATATTTAAACTTCAGTCACCTTCAAAGTATTTTCCATTTGATGCACTACACCGATTGAGACATTTTTTCCATTACTCAAAACAGTTTTTGAACTTGTTGATTTTGATGCCTTTTAGTGCTTCTGTCATTTTTTGTTTCACCTCTTCCACATCAGCAAAATGATTTACTTTAGGACTTTATTCATCTGGGGAAACAGTTGTTCCCCAGACTTTATTCATCTGCCCAAAGAGTTGTTCAGGGCAAGAATGGCTGAATAGGGAGGGTGGGGCACAGAGGTCATGCCATTTTGGTCAAAAACTGCTGAACATTCAGTGCAGTGTGGGCAGGTGCACTCGTAAATCACCCATCATGAACTGAGAGTCCAAAAAAAATTAACTGAAGCCAGCTGGTACACTGATACACGTGTTCATAGGACACTCACCTAGCTGGGGAAGCCTGTACTACAAAGGGCCCGCCCTCCAGAAATAATTCCGTATATTTTTTTAGTCTCCCTCGTGTGTGTGTGTCTGTATAAAATATGGTATATGAGTGCATATATGCAATTGCGAGTGACATTCTTTTGATATGATAAAGCTATTGTAATAGTTGTAACCTGCATATCATTTTCCATATGAAAACTGTTAACCTACTTTTGCCCACACCTGTACATGCATACATACATACATTTGACAATGTATTGACAAATGCATGTATGTATGCACATATGTATATATATGGAGGAAGAGAGAAAGAGAAACAATTCAATTGCTGGCAAAATGTGGGTAAGCAAAACTTTCAAACACTGCTAGTGGGAATGTAAACTGATACCACCACTTTGGAGGGGTAGTAAAGCTCAAATGTAATAAAGCTGAACAGAAACAAATCCTATGACCTAGGAATTCTGCTTCCAGAAAACTACCCCAGAACATCTGTGGCATATTTATACTATACAAGGAGACAGGTATAAGAACAGTCATTGTAATACTGGCTATAACAAAAAGCAAAAACAAAAACAAAACTAAGTAATAAAAACCCAACAACAATCTAAGCATCCCTTGGTAGAGGAATGGATAAATGGTGGTATATTCAATTCATACTACTGTAGTAGCTAAATGAACAGAGCTATGGGTGTTCGCATTGTTGAGGGGACTACATAAGTTGCAGTGTAAAATTTATACTGATCATACCATTAATCATACAGTGATTATATAAAATTTAAAAAGATGCCATACACTGTTTATGGATATGTATCTCTGAAGTTAAAGCATGAGAGCATGAATAGGAAGGATCCTCTCAGCCCAGGGATAGTGGTTACTTCTGAAGAAGGAGTGGAATGGGATGGTGCAGGCCTACAAAGAAAGTTCCATACCTTTCAGTTCCTAAAAAGGTCTGAAGCAAGTTTGGCAAAATGTGAACAGCCCTCAAGTATGAGCAGTAGATACAAAGATGTCATTATGTTGTACTCCATATTTTCTGTATGTTTAAAACATATTGAAAAAAAGGTTTAAATCAACCGTGCCTAACATCTATAGAATGGAATGGAAGAGAGCAAGAGTAAAACAGGAAGACCTTCTAGAAAGCATGTGTAGAAATCCACTTAAGAGTAATGGTGACCTAAACAGATGATAATGAGATGAAGTACATTAAAGTAAGATTATATTCCAAAGGAATAATTTATAGATCTTATTGACAGACTGGATATAAGGAACCTAGGAGAAAAAAAACCGCAAGGTTAACTTCTGGCTAAAGTAGTATGTACATGAAGGTGAACTTTTATCAGATGGAGAAAACTGGAAAAACAACTAGTTAGAGGGCATGGTAGAATCTTGTTTTATGTTCATCGCTTATTTCTTCCACTCAGACATAAGCTCTTTATGGGAAGAATCTGTTTTACCTCTGTATCCCCTAAGTCCTTAACATAACCATGCCAAATCACTATTATGCACACTGCCTAAGTGCAGTTCGCCCTCCCTATCCACACGTTCTACATCCATGGGTTCAACCACCCATGGACAAAAATGTCACACTGTTGCTGGCACATATGATGTAGTTAGACCTATGATGGTCACATCTGTACTGAACATGTACAGACTTTTTTCCTGATCATGACTCCCTAAACAACATAGTATAACTATTTACATAGTATTTACATTGTATTAGGTATAATAAGTAATTTAGAGATGATTTACAGTACACAGGAGGACATAAGTAGATTACATGCAAATACTACGCTTATTTTACATAAGGGACGTAAACATCTGTGGATGTTGATGCACCTGGGCGTCCTGGAAGCAATCCCCCCACAGATACTGAGGGATGACTGTATGGTTTTAAAAACCAGACAATCTTCTTTAAAAGTGTCAGCTTTCAAAAACATTTTATATTACTTAATCGTCTAATAACAAAAAGAAACTTTCAAGAAATTCCAATAAGTTTTCTTGTGCAGCTCATTTAGACCTTTAGGTTCCATATCTATTTATGCTTTCCACATTCCTCCTACGCCATTTTAATTACTTTCATATGATTTTACCAGTTAGATGCGTTATAAGCTATGCTGTATTATAAAGCACACCATTGTAAATGGGATAAAATATATACTAGGGTTATTATTATATAGCATCTCATTACCAGCTACTACTTATGTATTTTACTTATAGTTTATAGAGCCCCTTATCTCATATGACTCATAATACAACCTCAAAAGTAGGCAGGACATTTCTGTAATATTTAGTGATAAAACTGGTATTGACACCTAAAGCATCAGGCTCCATACCTAGAACTGGTCATAAAGAAACTAAGGCATGAAATCACTTGTCCAAGGATATACAGCTAATAAAACTGCAAGGTAATTTTGCTGTGCTTAAAGAGCTGACACTATTCTAAGCTTATAAAACGTTATGAAAATGCATGACAAGGTCTCTTCAAAATTTGTCCAAAAGAAAGAGTCTGATTATTCCTTTCCTTACTTCTGAAGTTAGAATCATATTATCCAGAGATTTTTTTAATACTATGTAACTGGAATGGTAGGAATAAAATCACATATATCTTCAACAAATCATTTAAGTAAATTTGTTTTCCTTCTAAGACAAAAAGGTTATCAAGTTTCTTTAGAAGAGAATTAACTGTATCTAAAAATCATAATACTTGAATATACTGTGATACCACAAACTTCAATTCTAAAGCTAAAACAAGTGTATTGCAACCACTGCATTTTGGCAACTATCCCTTTTTAGTGAACCATGACAATTAAGCATTAGGTGTTAGGTCAATCTTTATTTCAAACACAGTGAACACTGTGACTATAAGCATCTGTATACTTATAGGTCCCCCTCTCAGTGTATCCCATTAGTTTGGGAGATTTGGGGAGTTGGGAGGCCTGTTAGGAGGTAGTTCAGAATTCTACAAAGATACTCCAAGCCATACGTATTAAAATCCCTTACAAATAAATCAAGGTCTTAACTGTTTTTCTAATACTCAGAAACAGTACTTTCGAGTGCCAAAAGCAAATTCTAAAAGGTTTCTTAGGAAAATTGTTACGAATTTTTAAATGTTAGAATGGAGCCATTAAAAAATATATTATGACTCATGTTTTTAGCAATGCCAGTTCTGTTTCTGGATTTATATAACTTTGTATCATTTTAATTTCTTTTTAGAGGATGTATCTAAATGGAAACAATTGAGTTCAAAGGTAAAACAAGTGTGTGTATTTCTTCTTAAGTTCAACATTATATTTTTAGTGGATTTTATTTTGTAAAGGATGAAAAACAATGGAGGTTATCACACTGGGGATTGATACCATGAGTACTTCAACAGTGTAACTTCAGCTGTAATGCATAGAATGGATGGTGTAATAGCAATGAGATAGCTGTGTATTACAATAGAAGTTAGAGATTGGAAAGGTGTTATAAAAGTCTAGATCAGGAGGTAGCTTTATAAAAGTCCAGATTCCTGGGTTCTACTCCTAGAGATTCTGAGCCAGTAGCTTTAGAGCATGTTTTCATAAACCTTAGCGAAGAGCTAAACATGGATGACTGAGAGTAACTTAAAGCATCAAAAAGAAGACACCTCTGATGTTGACACCTTCAAAAGAGTATCAGGAACTCAAAAAATTACAAGTTGATGCTTCATTTTTACCACAAATGAACAGACTCACCTGGATCGGGGTCATATTTTAGGTCCAATGGGTGTACAACAGGGTGGTACTGCTTCTGAACAATATAAATTAAAATGGATTTAATTTCATTACTTAATGCCTCATATAAACATTTTCTTCAGCTATTGTAAACAAGTATACTATTAGTCAGTAGTATCATTCTTTTGCAAAAACACAAAGCAAACAAAAATTAAATCCTGCGATCTGTAGGGAAGGGAGAGGAAAAGGAAAACTGTCAAATCTAAGTCTGAATTATGCCTTTTACAGTATTGCCACCTACTGCATACACTAAGAAACTGCACCATAAAGGATTTTAAGGAGAAAAGCAATCAAGCAAATTAAAGGCACAGAGACTAAATTTTGTGTTTCAAGTACTGGGTAGTCTCCAAATTATGAATGAACTGTTTTTCAAAATTGTTCTTTTTAAGAAGTATTGAGAGCTCAGAATGCACATTCCCCTAGAAACTCTGCTTTAAGAAGTGGCTGCCACTACCATGTCAGCACACTGAAGCCTGTGTGACCTGTGACACACTAGGCTACAGCTGGAGAAAGAAAGGGACAGGGTCCACAATGTGGGGGAAAAAGAAAGGAAAATGTTCCTCCTTACTCCTGCCTAAAGCAAGCAAGTGCCAAAAAGGCTTTTTAAAAAGCTGTCTTTACTGTCTTCACCCTGTCCATTTTGCATCATTTTTAACTTTCAGAGCAGTACCATACCTAGGCCTGCGAACTTTCTTTATTTTATGCAACATCGATTACTAGGTTTTTTTCAGGGAGAAAGGGGTAGTTAGTAAGGGAGATGCGAAAATATAAACACATTTTGAATGTTTTCCCCAAGACAACTTTTAAAAGGGCGGGGGGGTGGGAAATGAGGTTGGGTATTTCTTTGAAGGCTGCTACAGAATAAAAAAGGAACAATTCTGCTTATAAATATTTTTCTCATAGAATGACTAAAATATTTTAGATAAAGTATCTGCCTTTATTATCTAAAACAATTCCTGAAAGGAAAGCAATCAAAAGATTTACATGTAAAGTATATTCACTTCAAAAAGTAAGAACAAACTATATCACAATCAAAAACAACAGGTATTTCTCCCTGCAGAAGCAAAGCTACTCCCAGCACACCTACTCTTGGCCCATCATGATTTTGGGAGCTAAACAAGAAACACAGAATTCATAAAGCAAATTTCAGTATTATGAACAGGTACTCAAACCTCATCATCAATTTAAACAAAGCATCTTCCAAAATACATAATCATATATATATAATGTGCCAAACACAAATGACAAATAGAAAGAAAAGCCTTAAAAAATAAATTTCTTTTTCCTTCCTGGTCTCAGAATTATAAAGTCATGGTCAGTCTTCCATCTTCAAATTCTATGTTAGTATCAGCTGTCTGTAGTGTAGGCACGCCCCTTCCTTATCAGCTCAGGCCCCGACGCAGCAGCCATTATCTACACTGAGTATTTCTGCCGGTCCCTTACCAACAAGGGCATGCAGTGTATCTCCATGGTTACCTCCCTGCCCCCTGGAACCGTGCCTGCCACACTGCACAGCAGCCCGTCTGTGACTCCAAAGGTCCAGAGGGTGAGCAACCTGCAAGTCTCACAGGAGGGGAGGCTGACAGAGACACCTCCGGATGGAGCACTATGCCCCCGGTGCCAACCAGAGACAGGGTCTGGGTCAGCAACCGAATTCCAGTTTAAGAGGAGGATTTGGTGGTGGGCGTGGTCAACCACCTCAGTAAAGTTGGAGGAATTATTTTGTGTTGAATTAACTTGGGGTCAGAAAATAAAACAACAATAAAAAAAACCTAAAGTGATGTAAAACAGAAAAATCTTACAAGAGACAGAGTAGTAATCAACACAGGAAACATAAAGAAAAGGAAATGTCACTTATCTCTACATACATCTTATACTTTTTTTTTTATTGTAGCAAAGCAGACATAACGTAAGATTTACTATTTTAAAGGTAAATCATCTTACCAGAAATTCTTGTTTTGCTTTTATAATTTTTATGACACATTCAAGGATCTTTCTGGGATACTGCTTACGTTTTGTGGCTATATCTACTATGATTTCATCAAATTGATCTTCAAGTTCTTTGATATCAGAATCTATTTCAAGAGAAAAAAATTCATTAAAACAGCATTTATGTTCTACATGGAAATGTAAATAAACTACATTTAAAAAACACCAAATAATTAAGGAAAACAAACACAGCAAGTTAATGGATGCCCCCACATTGGTGATTGACTCATTTACTCATTGAACAATCAATTACTAAGTACCTATGGGAAGCCAAGCCGAAATCAGAGAAATACAAAGATGAATTTAACATGATCCTTGCTCTCTAAGAGCTCATGGTCCACTGCAAGAAGAAGACAGATAATTGCAAAGCAACTCAATAAATACAACAGGTGTATGAACAAAATGCTACCAGGACACAGAACAATGGAACACTAACTCTGCCTGTGGAATTTAAGACTTTAAAAAAAAAGTAACATTTGAGCTGGGCCTTGGAATGTAAGTGTAAATCCATTTGATAACAAGAGACAAGAAAAGAAATACTAGGAAGAAGCATTTCAGGCAGAGGAAACAGTATTTGCAAGATCATAGAGTCTTTGGGGAATCGAAAAAATTCTAAATGGCTGCAGGATAAAGTATAAGGAAAGAAGGACGATAAAAGAACTAGACTGTAAAGGGCATTTAATGTCAGGAATGCCAAGAAGTTTTGATTTTTTTTTTATGTGTTGAAACAAAGCTGTGATATAACAGTGAATAGAGTAGCTAGATCTGAAATAGGCACAACTGGATAAATGGTAGGAGAAAGTAAAAGGTATAGTGACTTTAATTCTTTTAGCTAAAACCGTTTTATTGGTTGATTTCCTATGTTTTTAAACAGAGATTCTCAAACTTCAGCAGCATGAACGCAGGGACCCTGTCAGAAGAACAGAAATTTTGATTCAGTAGGCCTGCGGAATGGGGCCCAGATATTAAGCACCCCAGATAAAATGAATACAGGTAATATATAAGCCTTATTTTGAAAATCATTTTAAGGAGAAATAAATATTAAGTAGTTAAATACTAAAGAGCTATGTTGCCAGCTTAACTGGTCTGATAGCATGTGTTCTGCTGTGTCAAAATCTGAAAGGATCTATTTATTTTGAGTAGAAGCTTCCTTAGGGAGAAGTACAATACATATTTTTTGGAAACATTTTGAGACACTGCTGATACATATCTGCACATACATACTGAGTAAATATAACTGAGGTACATTGGGTATGGCCTTTCATTCATGTAACAAATATCAAGTCCAACTAAATTACTTCTTTTGAAGAGTATTATGAGAGGCACAGTCATTTCTTTACATTGAAAAGTCATTTAAGTGAGCAGCCATCCCTAAATTTTAATTTGTCCATTTGAAAATTTCAATCACTAACCTGAAAGGCATAATCTATTCCGTAATCAGTTAAAAAAAGAAAAAAATCAAGTATCCCAGCTAAATCTTTTATGTCAGGAGGAATATGGTTTCTTAGCGCCACCTAATGATAAAGTTATAAAAGTGAAATGTATAAACAATTTGAGCTGGGAAGACTTAGTTACTAATTTAACAAATATTTAGTGGATGCCTACCATGTTTCAAGCTGCACATTGAAACACAGTGATGAGAAAAGAAAGCATAGTCCCTGCTCTCAAGGAACTTACATTGTAATTCTTAAATGTGCCTGGTCAAGCCTCCTGAAATCAAGTCCATTCAGAGTAGCCAAGGGGCAGAAGGGAAGTCGGTTTCACTTACGTGTATATACATGTATTCACTCATCTGTTCGTTCATTTGTCCACTCACTCATTTATACAATGATCTCAGGGAACAAAATAAACAGAAACCCCTGTCCTTGTGAGGCATACTTACTGCTTCTATGAGTCAGGAGCAGATAAAAATCCTTTAATTCTACCTGCTAAACATCTCTTGCAACTTTTTCTTTCCTTTCGCACTGTTTTGGGCCAGGCCTTTATCGTTTTTTGCCGTACTGTTGCAGTAACCTCCCTAAGGTCGGCCTACCTTGAAATTTTCCCTTCTCTAATCCATCCTCACATGGAGCCAGCAGTTGGCTTTCCAAAATACAACCTTTTCATGTAAGTTCTACTTTAAAAACCTTCACCAATTCTCCACTACCTGCAAAGTAAAGTTCAAATTCCTTAGCATATCCCACAGGGCTCTCTGTTATCTTTCTGGCTATATCTGCCATTAGTCTTCCCAATTCACTTCTGACATGTTCCAAACAGCCCTCCTTTGTGCCGTGGCACATGGTGTTTTCTTTACTTTAAATGCCCGTCCTACCTCCTTTCCGTCCAGCACACTCTCATTTATTACATGCATCTAATTTGAGAACCAACTGTGTTAGGTCTAACCACACTTTCCAAAGAGTAAAGTGATCCCTTGTCCATGTCTTTCCATTAATGATGAGTTCCTAAATGGTAAGGGCAATGTCTTCGCACCTGTTTCCCAGCATTTGGTATAGTGCCTGGCATTTATCAAGTGCCCATGAAAAAAAGTGTTATAACTACTTTCCCTCAGTTATAAGGGGAAAGAGGGACAAAAAATATGCATGCTCCAATGCGTCAGGAAATACATTTGTTAATCTATAAATTGATGAATCATATTACTAAAGGCAGTCTGTACCAAACAATAAAGCAATTCCAAAGTCACTTCATAGAAAAAAGAGTGAGATAAAGACACACTAGTAGAGTCTGTGTGGTTTGAAAATACTGCTAGGCTTTCGCTGGTTAGCTCAGTAGGTTAGAGCGTCATCCTGATACACCAAAAGGCTGCGCGTTCAATCTCCGATCAGGGCACATAAAAGATCAACCAATGAATGCATAAATAAGTGGAACAACAAACTGATGTTTCTCTCTCTCCCCCTTCCTCTCTCTCTTAAAATCAATAAATTAAAAAGAAAAGAAAATACTCCTAGGTGGTTCTGACACACTCCCTCTCCCCTATAATCACTCTGATTAATATTTGAGAAATCCAATGTTACTGTTTTTAATGTTTTATGTAAACCAGAAAGCACAGTTTGGTAACTTCGACGGGATAGCTACTGTACAGGGGTGTGCAAAAGTAGGTTTACCGTAGTATGTGAAACAGCGTTTATTCTAACACTATTACTTATTAATTATTATATTACTTTGCACATTCCTGTAATAATCTCAATGATTAGACTGTGAAGTCTTCTGGGCAAAGTATTATCTTACTATCAAGTAGAAGAACTATAACTTTAGAGGGTTATATGATGGGCTTAAAATCAGCTCAGGAGTATAACTGAACAATGAAAACGGTTAGCAGTGGCATCAAGCTCTGCTAGTCAGATGTCCGTGACATCACTACAGCGACAGTAATATGCGCCGGCCCTCCTGTCAGGGTAGACCTTCTCCTGGCACTGCTGAAGAATTCTGCTTCTTTCCCACACTAATCATTATTTTTCTATTGAATTCTTCCCTTCTATACTGAACATTTTTTCTTGCAAAACTTTGGCCCAGGCTGGGTAGCATCATCCAGATACAGCAAGTTTGCAGGTTCAATCCCCGGTCAGGGCACATACAAGAACCAATCAATGAGCCCTGGCTGGGTGGCTGAGTTGGTTGGAATGTGTCCTTGCACCTAATGGTTGCACAATCAGTCCCCGGTCAGGGCACATACAAGAATCAACCAATAAATACATAAATAAGTGGAACGATGTACAGGAGGCAACCGAGCAATGTCTCTCTCACGAAGATATTTCTCTCTCTCTCTCCCCGCCACCGCCCACATCCTCTCTATCTTTAAAATCAATAAATACATCCTTGGGTGATGATTAAAAGAAAAAAAGATTTAACCAATGAATGCATAAATACGTGGAACAACAAATCAGTGTTTCTCTTTTTCCCTCTCTCAAATCAATAAATAAAAATTTAAAAAATAAAAACAACTTTGATTTCTTTAGATATGCTAATAACATTAGTTAGGGTACAATCAAGTCGGCTTTGGACCAGGAAAATATTCTCTTTTTAAGGAGGCTCCTCAAAACACTGACCTCATCCTTGACATGGTACTCTTATAGTCTAACTTCACACTCCTAACATACTTCGCTGTCCACTCTAATGATCACTTGTGAAAATACAACTTGATTCATAAGCTATTAATCATAGTAATTCTTTGGGCCTGTTTCTTCATCTGGGGGATAGTTCCAAAGAACCAATGAATGAATGACATGGGTACTTCTGAAGCTTAATCAGATCAAAGTCTCGTTGAGAATGCCAGAGAGAAAATATAAAGGACTAAGGTACCTACTGTGTTGTTTACCTCAGATTACAACTTCAATAGTCTTCTAGATTAGTTTTCTCTTCCCCTACCCAGTAAAATAATTTTTAAAGAGAAGTAACACTGAGAATGGAGATTAAAAATTAGTATTCAAAATAGATCAGCTACAAAAACAAGTCACAAATTAATGACAGAAGAAAAAAGTTAAATCACTTACCCCTAAAATAATCATCTGAAGCTTCTTGCCATGCTTGCCCATTAATGCTGACATTTTCTTGCACAGCTGATTCAAAAGTCTGCAATAAATTCACAATATTCAAGTCACTAAAAATAATTTTCAATACTGAATTTAAATATTTTGGAAAATAACTTCAGATTTGTGACAGAGAATATAAAAAAAGTAGCAGAGAATATGAAAAAAGTATGGAGAAAATAAGTTTACTTATTTTCAATGAAAATTCCATTTCAATTGATTCTACCTACACTTTTACTCTGATAGCCATTATGCGACCTACGAGAAAATCTGATCCAAAATTGTAGAACATTCTTATAAACAAAGCATGTACTTCTTAAATGAAATAAAAGCTAACAACACACCAAGACATTTCATCATTAAAATGGCAAAGGTTAAAGGCAGAGAGAGAATCTTAAAAGCTGCAAGAGAGACAATTACCTACAAGGGAGCTCTTATAAGACTGTCAACTGATTTCTCAACAGAAACATTTCAGGCCAGAAAGGACTGGCATGAAATATTCAAAGTGATGAAAAGCAAGGACCTACAACCAAGACTACTTTCCCAGCAAAGCTATTATTTAAAATTGAGGGAGAGCCCTGGCTGGTGTGACTCAGTAGATTGAGCATCCCTCCGCCTGGGGACGAAAACGTCACCAGCTCAGTTCCTGGTCAGAGCACAAGCCTGGGTTGCGGTCCAGGCTCAATGGATGTTTCTCTCACATATCAATGTTTCTCTCCCTCTCTTTGTCCCTTCCCCTCTCTCTAAAAATAAATAATATCTTTTAAAAAATAAAATAAAATTGAAGGAGAAATAAAGAGCTTCCCAGATAAGAAAAAGCTAAAGGAGTTTGTTACTACCAAACCAGTATTACAAGAAATGTTAAAGGGAAGAAGTGGGCGGGGGGGGGGGGGGGGGGGGCGGGGAAGAACATCAATAAACAAAAGGCCTCTGCCTTTTATTTGCTCTCCTATTTAAAATAAACACAAGTCAATTCCCTTGGCAGCTTACCTTAGTAGCACTTCCTAGAAAGGGGCAAACTCTTAAGATCATTACACAATAAAACAATCCTCTCCAGAAAAACTACTAAGAATGTCTGTACTCTTCCCTTGCTTGCAAGGAGGGAATAAGAGCCACTGGATACAAAACTGGAATACAGAAGCACAACTCAGGGAGTGTTTTTTCATTCTTCTTCCACTTAACCTTCATTTTTTATTTTTTTAAGTCATCGCCAGAGGATATGTTTATTGATTCTAGAGGCAGAGGAAGGGAAAGAGAGAAACAACATGAGAGAGAAACATCCATGGTGGCCTCCTACTGCCGGGGACCTGGGATCACACCTCTGTCTCGGTTTGTGCCCTGACCTTGATGAGCTCACAACCTTTCTGATGTAGGAAGGATGCCCACACCAACCGAGCCACCTGGCCAGGGCTTAACCTTTATTTCTATTGTTTGCATTGTGGTCATTCACACCCACCCGTGTGCTGCATTCTAAGATTTTAAACTTTTTTTTTCTACACATAAATTGTGTGCTTCCTTATGACAGACACCAATCCCTCAATTTGTTGTTTCTCTCCCCACCCCCTAAAACCATCTTCTTCAAGGCTTTGCAAGGAAGGGGGATGTGTGACAAGGGCCAGTGTAGGGAGTTTATAATCAAGACAGCTTTCTTATCTACTTCAGACTTGGACGGAAAATGTTTTCACTCTCTTTACAAGATATTCTAGAACAGGACAAAGGAAAGACCAAACGCCAGCCTGGGGACCGACTGACTTCCAGGACTCTCTTTCTGGAGAACTCGAAGTCTCCGGTGCACGCCAACAGGGGAGCCACTCGCCACTGTGGCTGCTGAGGCCTTAATAGTGGCTAGTCCGAAAGAAGAGGAGCTGTAAGTTTCAGACACCACATTTGAAAAGGTTAGTCGGAACAAAGGGATGTAAAATATCTCGTTCGTTTTTCTATTATTACAAATTAAAACGACACCTTGGGCATAGTGGGTCAAATAAAATACATTATTAAAATTAACTTGACCTATTTTTTCTTACTTTTAATTTTAAGTTATATACATAACTCGCCTTGTATCTGTCTATTCGACAGCGCTGGTGTAAGTAATTAGTAATTCCCAGCGGACACTCTATTTCGTTCCCTCGCGTTTCTCGGGCTGCTTTTACCCGAGCGCGGGGCACAGTTAACTCTGCCAAAGCCCGGGGTAGGCCCTTCAGCGCGGAGACCCAAGGTAAGGAGGGTGGCAAGTGATGGCTACTGGACCCCTACCCACTGCGCGTCTCGCAGCGCAGGCTCCCGAATCTTATCTGGCAGCGAGTCCCCGAGCTGTTGCACGAAGCGGCCGCACAGTTCCACCAGTTCCATCACGGCCCGCTTCGAGGTGCAGCGCACACGGAAGTCCTCACGGGCAGCGGCGGGGACCGAGGTCCGGTCTTCTGTCCCCGTTACTCCCTCCACATCCTGTGGAGGCGAAAGGACCTCTAGCTCAGGAGTCCCCGCCATTTTCCAGTTTGAGCTGCGGGCGGGAACTCGGAGAGCGGAAGCGACTTCCACTGAAGGAAAGTGTCCGCGGTCGGCCGGAAACTCAGTCCGCCGCCGCAGCAGGGTTCCGGCTGGGGCTCCGCGGGCTGGGGCTCCGCGGGCGAGTCGAGGGCTGCGCCCGCTGCGGCGATGGGGACGGTGGGCGTAGGGTTGGTGGACTGCCACTGCCACCTCTCCGCCCCAGACTTCGACCGCGTAAGTGAAGGCAAGCACGAGGCTGGCGAGAGGGTGGGAGCAGGGAGACTCCCGTCCTCTGCCTTCAGGTTTCCTTTGCTCCCTTAAGAGGACGGAGCCCCAAATCCACGCAGGCCGGTCTATGGCCGGTGTGCCTTGCTCCTGCGTCCCTATTTAACTGCAGTCGTACTGATTTTTCTTTTTGATCCTGAATAGCGTAAGCCCTCTATCTCTAATTTGCTATTCCCGGCTACCTGAGTTCTTTCCCCTACCTCCGCTTGGCCGGGCTGAAAATCCACTTCCCCCACAAACACCGGCTTGCTCCGAAGCAAACAGAAAGAACAACGCACACCCAAGATCAGAGTTACAAAGTGTTTTACCCACTACGTTGAAAACTAGAGGCTCAGAATAGAGACGGAAAAGCAGAATCTATTTGCGCAGAGGGGCCGTAGACCAGCCAAACAACACGGTGGGCGTACGGTGGTGATGAAAGTAGGCAGGTTGAATTTGGCACATTCATGCTACCAAAATACTGGATGGAGCCTGGAGGGAGGCATGAAGCAAGACTGAAGAGGCTTGCAGGGGATAGGTGAGGTAGGTCAGTAAAGAGTTTGGATTTCATTAGAGGAACAATTCGAATCTAGTAAAGGTTCTTCTTTTTCCTTTTTTTTTTTTTTTTTAAGAGAGTGACAAGACTGCTATTCATTCAGAAACTATTTCTAAATAGTTGCTGATGTATGGCAACCGGAGGGAGGAGGGCGAGGTGGTGCTAGAAGACCAGTTTGGCAGCTTTTGCAGTATGTGTACTAGACAAGAGATCATGGTGGTGGCAGGGGAGTTTGAGAAGAGCACATGGATTCAAGATGCATTTTAGAGAACGGATGTATGGTACATGCCAGGGGATTGAAGGTGGAGAAGGAGGGAAAGAGAGGACTTGATGCTATAGGGAGGATGGTGGTGCTGATTACTGAGATGAGGGAAGACAGGTTGGGGAGGTGAGGCAGGAGGAATAGGGTTGTTGGGGAGAAAGTAGAGTTGTGTTTGGCACATGTAGAAGCTTAATCTCCATCCACGTGGAGATATCAAAGCCATTCTTAAATATGAATCCTGGGTTTTAGAAAGGATAATAGGCTGTAAATAACAATTGGGGGCTTGTTAGCATAATCATAATAATAATTTTTAAACCCGTGGATAAGATCACTTTAAGTGAATCAAGAGAGAGGAGCCTAGGGTCCTGAAATCAGATAGAGGTCAGAGGAGAGCCAGTTAAGAAGACTGAAATAGTAGCCAGAAAGAGAGTGGTGTTTGCAGGAGAGTGGTGTTGCAGGAGCCAGGAGTGGAAAATATTTCCGAAGGAAGGAGTGGACAAGTGAGCTTCTAAATGCTGCTGAGGAGTAGAGTAAGAGGAGGACAGAGAAGTGACCTTTACATTTGACAGTAACAGTTTCTGTTTCAATGTTGAGGGAAGAGATGCCAGATTTTACTCGGAGAAAGAAAGAGGAAACGGAAGGTGGGTCAGTGTAGCGTCTTCACATGCTGCCACACTGTCCCTTGCCCTCATTGTCATTCCTCCTGTCTCCTCAACTACACTGATGATATACGCAGCCAAAGGGCAGCTACTTATTTGTCTAAAATGATTGTGATAACTTGTTCTTATTTTAGGATCTGGATGATGTGTTGGAGAAAGCCAAAAAAGTAAGTCAATATCTATAATTGCCCTTTTTTGTTTTTGTTTTTGTTTTCCTTCTAATTTCCGATTAGAACAGCTTGAAATTTAGATATGCTCTGTTGATGCTTCAGTAATACTGTTACATTTATTGTGTTTACTATGTAACAGGTACTGACTAAGCCCTTTCTGTATGTTATTTTATTTAATGTTTCATGACAACCTTCCGTGGCAGCTACTATTTTTTAGCCCAGGGTCCCCAACCCTGTGCCCAGGAGAGGTAGCCGGCTGCTCCACCTCCTGGCCCCGCCCCCATCCGTAGCTGGGGGTGGTGGTGGATGGGGCTTTGAGGCTCCCCTGAGCTCTGCCTTCAGCCCCTCCCCATTCCACAGTGGGGGAGCTACGCTTACCTGCCCCCCTGTCCCCGCCCCTGCCCTCATCTTCCAAGAAACGGGTCCATGGTGCCAAAAAGGGTGGGACCAATGTTTTAGCCAACCATTGCCCGTTTTATAGATGGAGAAACTAAGGCCTAGCGACTGACTTGTCCAAAGACACACCACTAGTAAAATGATGCAGACAAGAAAGTCTGAATTGAAAACATGTTTCCACAGCTGCCATGCTTACCAGTAATATGGAACAGAGCAGTCCATCTGTCGGTTCTAAAATTAACATTATTCTGGAGATCTTGGAGAAATTGTAAAAGTTTTCTGAAACATTTTGATTTGTTTGGGAAAAAATTATTAAGTTTTGGAACTCTTTGTGAAATTCATTGTAACTAGCACTTCATAGTCTTCCCCAAAAGTGTAAGACAGAAGTAGCTGCCAGTACATATTTATATACAGCCATCTTTCACGATGATGGATTAATTAGGAGTGTAGGCTTTGGAGTTGCACAGGCCCAATGATCTTGGGCAAGTTACTTGACTCCATTCAAAATTTTGTCTCCTGATCATACAGTAGATTATTGCAATGCCTACTTCATAAGGTTGTGTTGATTAATTGAGGTAATATTTATGTTCACTGAATATAGTAGCTGACACATAGTAAGTACTCAGTGCTACCTATTATGAATATACTGATAGAGCACAGATTAGCAAGAATAACTAAAAGAATAGAAAACTTTACAATTTTTTTTTTGAATTATATTGGATGTATATTGCTTGAGACTCTAACTGCTTTATTCTTTTTTTGTTTCAGGCCAATGTTACGGCTCTTGTGGTGGTCGCTGAACATTCAGGAGAATTTGAAAAGATTATGCAGCTTTCAGAACGGTGCTACTTCTCATTAACAACTTAGAGAGTTGCTAATAAGGATGCAGTTATGATATCATGTTTATAATATCAAAGATTACCATTTTTAAGGAGAATGAGAAGGAAAATATTAATATAGCCCTAAAATATTCTTTCCTATTTATTCTTTAAAGTAACATTGTCTACTAGTCTAATATTCTACTTTCTTAATTCATTCTACTCTCTTAGGTATAATGGGTTTGTCCTGCCGTGCTTGGGTGTTCATCCTGTTCAAGGACTTTCACCAGAAGAACAAAGAAGTGTCACATTAAAGGTAAAATTCAAATAAAACAAAAAACTTTAAACAATGATGCTACCTTTGACTCAGTAATCCTCCTTTTTTCTGATTTGAAATCTAAGACAATAATCTAAAGGAAGGAAATGCTACCTCCTTTCCCAAAAATGTTTGTTGCAGAATAATTTATGATAGAGAAAAACAGCCTAGTGGTTCAGAAATAAGGGAATAATTACTTAGCTTGTAGCATATTAAATATAATGCATTTATTTAAAATGAGGATTATGAGGTTTATGTAACAACATGAAAAATATTTACAGTACAATATAGGGAGAAAAGCAGGATACAAACAATTTATTCACTAAGGGCCATTGTATAGAAACATATCCTATATGGAGAGCGGGACACCTGGCTTGCGAGTGGGAACCTCAGTCTTTCGCGCGACAGAAGAGCGATTTTAAAATGGGTGACATTGAGAAAGGCAAGAAGATTTTTGTTCAGAAGTGTCCCCAGTGCCATACCATCAAAAAGGGAGGCAAGCAGAAGACTGGGCCAAATCTCCATGGTCGGTTTGGGCGAAAGGTCAGGCCCCTGGATATTCTTACACTGATGCCAACAAGAACAAAGGGATCACCTGGGGAGAGGCTACACTGATGGAGTATTTGGAGAATCCCAAGAAGTACATCCCTGGAATAAAAATGATCTTCACTGGCATTAAGAAGAGTTCAGAAAGGGCAGATTTGATAGCTTATCTCAAAAAAGCTACTAATGAGTAATAGTTGGGCACTGCCTTATTTATTACAAATGTCTCATGACTTTTTTATTTATACCATATTTAAATTGATCTCAAACACCAGAATTCAGATCATGAAAGGCTGACAGAATGTTACTTTTGGGAAATTCTGATTTAAATAACACTGGCTTGTGGTTAAATGATCGGCTTTTTGAACTTTGATGGTAATTTTGGTTTCAGCAACTGCTATCACTATTTTCCCCTTCTAAAAATATGATTGGACTTGGTTTGTAATATTGAACTTTTCACAGAGATGGTGAATACCATCTCAAAACCTGTAGGAGGATGGTTTTATATTTAGATTTATGTCACTGGTTATATAAACATGTTTAAATACTGAGAAAATCCCTTCAGTGTTTATTAGAAAAGCAAGACTACCCTATGTTTCAAATTGTATTTATTAGCCTGTTAAAAGGCAAGAGCCGAAGATAAGCTGTCAGTGTCCATTTTATCTTTTTGGTCCTAACTATGCCAATTTAATTAAAATGTCTTGTATCTAAACTGTTGCCTTTAACTAATGAAAGGCATTTTAGTGTGGTTTGTGTATAATATCAAATAAAGAATATTTAACACTTCTCACACTTTATAGATGATCTGTAAGGTCAAATGCTTTGACAAGATAAAATAGACACTGAATTCTTGTGTGAATTCTTGAAGTCAGGCTAAGTTATAATTCAGGATTGTCTTGAAGAGCTATTCAGAAACGACTGTAGAATTACTGTATTTGTGATTGGTAATGGTGCTATTGCCAACTCACTAGAAGGGTTAAAGGAGAGGAAAATAGATTAATACAGAATTGTAAATTATGTAATCATAAGGCTTAGGATAATTAAAAACAAAATCCCAGATCAAAAAAAAATATCCTATATGGAAAAGACTACAAAGAAAAACACAGAAATGATAGTAGCTATGATGATCTCGTAGGATTACAGGGGATTTGTTTTTACATTTTTAAAATCATATTGTCATAATGATTTGGCAAAAAAAGCAGTAAGATATCCAAAGAAAGAAAGATGCAAATTCATAAATGCAGTACTGCAAGAGAACAGATGAGTCAAGTACACTATATCTTACTTGAATGTCAAACTGTCCCTACACAGGAGTGCTCCTGATCTATTTCACTGCATGGCTTTCATAGCCTCTCTAAAAAAGACCCTACCCACAAGATCTCACTGACTCACGATAGCCAGTATGTTTATATTTGTCAGGGAGATGCACAGTTTCTTGAGTGCTTTATTATATAATGGTGTCAAGCCCCATTTTGAAGAAGTGAAGACTTTGTGTTACCTATGAATAAATTAATATATGAGTTCTGTCATTTTTTGTAATAATGAATCTGTATTCCTACATTTGGATAACCTAGGTAGCTCTACTTATTTTGAAACAAAATGACATTTAATTCACTTCAGCTGAAAGATAAATACTTATTCTGTAGTTTCCCTGAGTTGTTGATGTGATAAAATTAGCTAACTTGCCAGAGAGTTACAGTTCCCATAATGTTGAGGATCATAGGATGGCATTTGTTTAATTTATGTAAAGGTTTACGAGTACTGTAATAGGCATTCATTTAGTTAGTCATGTACTACATGAAGTAGTCCTTACAGAAGGACTACTATTCCTAATTCCTCAACTAGTTAAAGGAATAGACTGTATATAAAGGACCCAGTACAACATAGTACCTGGCATGTGATATGTGTTTATAAAATGTCAAGTTCCTTCTCCTAGTTTAACAAATATACTTTTTTTTTTTCCTCCCAGGATTTGGAGGTAGCCTTGCCCATTATTGAGAATTATAAGGATCGGTTGTTGGCAATTGGAGAGGTAAATACCTGTTAGCTGATCAAATGACTTCTGATTCAGACTTTGATACATGAAAGTATCTGTAATTCAATATTGGTGACTGTAACTGACTTGGGTAGTTATGTTTACCCCATTCAGCTGAATAATAATTTATCAGTACTTCGTCAATTAACAAAAGAGCTTGGAGACGAAACAATAAAAAGCCTCACCATAGGCTTATGTTAATATTTTATTAGCATTTCTATATATTTTACCTTTATTTTTTCCTTAAATATGGGTCAGCTCTCTAGTTAGTTCAAGTGATATATACAAGAGAAAAAACTAAGATGGCGGACAGGGTAAACACAGCTTGCCTCCTTATACAGCCACATCAAAATTACAACTAAAATACAGAATAACCATCATTCAGAACCACCGGAAATCAGGCTGCATGAAAGTCCTACAACTATGGAATTAAAGAAGAAAGCACAGTGAGATTAGTAAGAGAGATGGAGAGGCCTGATGGGCTGGTCCCTTACCCATGTGTGGCAGATAAAAGTCAGGAGGGATATCTTGGGAGCAAGGGGTCCGAGCCCCACACAAGGCTCCCCAGCCTAGGATTCCAGTGCCAGGAAAATAAGTTCTCATGACTTCTGACTATCAAAAACAGCAGGAATCGAGGCGGTGAAAGACAGAAACCGCTGGATTCCCAGGCAGTTCCTCTTAAAGGGCCCCATACACAGACTTACTCAGACTCACTCCCTCTGAGCTCCAGGTTGTGAGCAGCGGATTGAAAGGCATCGTGGCATATGGGGAGGAGCCTAAGTGTCTGGCATCAGGGCAAGAACTGCTCTCGATGGGAGGGCAGCTTTCTCCCAGACAGAAGTACTAGCAGAAGCCATTGTTCCTTTTCTGACCCTCTCCCTAACAGAGCCACAGAGCCAGCAGCCAGCACTGTATCTGAGACTCTCTCAACCTGGCTCACACTGTTTGCCCCACCCTGGTGACTACCTGAGGCTCCACCCACCCAACTTTCAGGCCCACCCAAGCTGTTTCCAGTGGCTTTTCCATACAAATGGTTTATCTTGGCTCATGCTTCAGATTTTCCTAAATCCTCTCAAACAAGCAGCATCTGGCCTCATTGAGCCCCATACCTCTTGCTAAGTGGCCTCAGACCTAACACTAGCAGCACCTGGCCCTGGTTCACAGATCGACCTTGCCTGGGCATCTCTAAGCCCAGCACAAGTAGCAGCCATCTGCAGATTACTTAGTAGCTTATGCTAGGTGCCCCTAGGAAGTGGCTGACTGCAGTCTGCACCTCCTGGGAAGCCCCAGAGCCTGTGCTCCCAGCGGACAGCTACAGACCACGTTGGAGCACCACCACCTAACCACCTCCACAAGCAACACACTCAAGAGGCGGGCTTGGCATCAGAGCCCTGCTGAAGTAAGTCCTGCTCTGTGGAGTGGGCCCCTGCACAGCTGGTCCTCCACGGTGGTTGGAAGTTGGTGGTCAGTGGTCACAGCCAGTCGTCGTAGCTGATTGGCCTGGGGTAAACCCCTCCCATTGACCTGCCTACAGTAACCAAGTCTCAGCTAAAACTGGAGGGCATACACAACCCAAACAATGGACATACCTCGAGTACCTAGCTTGGGTGATAGGAGAGGCTGTGCCACTGGACCCTACAGGATACCTACTATATTAGGCCATCCTACCAAGCTAGGAAGTCATAGCAGCTTCACCTAATACATAGGAACAAACACAGGGAGGCTGCCAAAATGAGGAGACAAAGAAACAAGCCCCAAATGAAAGAACAAAACAAAATTCCAGAAAAGAAACTAAACACAATGGAGACAGGCTATCTACTAGATGCAGAGTTCAAAACACTGGTTATAAGGATGCTCAAGGAACTTAGTGAGAATTTAAACAGCATAGAAAAGAACATGGAAACCATAAAAAAGAACTGTCAGAAGAAGGCTACACTAACTGAAATGAAGAATAATTTACAGGGAATCAATAGTGATTTGAAGCCAAGATGAAGCCAAGAATCATATTAGTGATTTGGAATATAAGAATGCAAAAAATACCCATTCATGGAGGAGAGAGTTAAATGGCAATGGGAAAAAATACAATAAAAAACTAAAAAAAGAGTAATTTTAAAAAATATCCATTCAGAACAACAAGAAGAAAAAAGAATGCAAAAAAATGAGGATAGTGTAAAGTGCCTCAGGGCCAAGTTCAAGCATACCAACATTTGCATCATAGGGGCACCGGAAGGAGGGGAGAGAGAAAGCGAGAAATTGAAAACCTATTTGAAAAAATAATGACAGAAAACTTCCCCAACTTGGTGAAGGAAATAGATATACAAGTCCAGGAAATGCAGAATCCCAAACAAGATGAACCCATAGAGGCCCACACCAACACACATCATAAGTAAAATGCCAAAGGTTAAAGACTAAGAGAAAATCTTAAAAGCGGTTAGTTACCTACAAGGGAGCTCCCATGAGACTGTCCAGATTTCTCAAATTTTGCAGTCTAGAAGGGAATGGCAAGAAATATTCAAAGTCATGAAAAGCAAGACCTACAACCAAAAGTACTCTATCCAGCAAAGCTATCATTTAGAATCAGAGGACACAGAGCTTCCCAGACAAGAAAAAGCTGAAGTTGTTCATCACCATCAAGCCAGAATTATATGAAATGTTAAAGAGGCATCTTTAAGAAGAAACTCAGAAATATGAACAATAAAATGCCAATAGATATATATCTATCAATAATTGATTCTTAAAAAGCAAACAAACAAGCAGAACAGAAACAGAACCATAGATACAGAGAATGTTTTGATGGTTGCCAGATGGAGATTAAGTTGGGTGGATGGGTGAAAAAGATGAAGGGATTAAGAAGTACAAATTCATTGTTACAGAATAGTCATTGGGATGTAAAGGACAGCATAGGGAATATAGTATCCAAAGAATATATTTGCATGACCCATGGACATGGACAATGGTGCGGGGACTGCTTGAGGGAGTGAGGGGGGGGCCTTAGGCGGGGAGGGGGAAAAATTTGGACAACTGTAATAACAAACAAAAAATAATTTAAAAATAAAGTAGAACATACAAACATACTTTAAATAGGCTAGAGTGTAATTAGAGAACCCTTTCATTAAATAATTTACAGTTGTAAAACATTGTTACCACTTGGTAATAAATTTCACTTCTAATTAAAGATAAAGATAAAAGAAGAATAACTGTTAAATCCAGAATATAGATTATAACAATGCATGCCAAAATAGTATCAAGGAAAGCAGTCATTTATAATCTTTCCGGTCTAATGTGATGACCACATGCAGCGCTTGAAATGTGACTGATCCAAATTGAGGTGTGCTGTAAGTATAAAACACACAGGATTCAAAGTCTTAGGACCCCAAAGAAAGAAGGTAAAATAACTCAATAATTTTTACATTGATTATGTGTTAAAATAATAATGTATTACTGTATAGTAAAGATAAAGTTTTAGATATACTGGATTAAATAAATTTTAAAATTATAATTAAAATAGTATTATTGAAATCAATCTCACCAGTTTCTTGTTAGTGTTTTTATTGTGGCTACTAGAAAATGTAAAGTTATGTATGTGGCTTGCCCACATGGCTCCCAGTATATTTCTCTTGGGACAGTATTGCTCTATACCATGACTTTGGGGGTTCATTAAACCATAAAAATATAATTCTGTTTTACTTTTCTGTTATAGGTGGGACTTGATTTCTCCCCTAGATTTGCTGGCACTGACGACCAGAAGGAAGAACAAAGACAAGTCTTAATCAGACAGGTCCAATTGGCTAAAAGACTGAATTTGCCTTTGTAGGTTAATTAATCATCTTTTTATATTAATAGCTACAGAGCAAATTAAATAATGATTCTTTTGAAATGGAGCTCTACATTTCTTTTTCTCTGAATTACTTTAATAAAACAAAGATAATATCACATTAAGTACTTAAAAGGAATTTTTTTGTTAAACAGAAATGTTCACTCACGCTCAGCCGGAAGACCCACCATCAGCCTCTTAAAGGAGCAAGGTATTTAGGTTTCTGAGACAGATGTGCCTAATGTTTAAGTTTGGTAATTCCAGTCCATATTCTCATAGAACAAGCCATGTTTTAATTTGATTTCTTAAAACGGGAAGAAGAGGGGCAAGGGTGGAGGTGGAGATCAACTAAAGTGATTTTGCAAGTCAGCGTACTGTTTATAAGCTTTTCAATGTGATTGTATTTATCAGGCCAGGATAAAACAAATGAGAAATTGGATTAAGTAATTTATGTTCCTGAAGTAGAAATATATCATATATTTTAAAGTACCATCTACAGTAAGAAATATATTTTGATATTCAATATATACACATTTTTTTTGTATTAAGACTATTTTGAAACTCAGGGTATTCATATACAGAAAACTGACAAAATTTAAAGAAGCAGTATGTCTGTGTGCGTGTATAGGTAGGTATATGTATGTGTATACCTGTACACACACATATATATAAGCACACACTGGTCAGTCTTGACCCATTAAATTGATTATGTAACTCACTTATGGTTGTAACCCACTAATGGTCACACCTACTATTTGAAAAACAGTTATCAAATAGTGAAGTAAATGTAATTGCCTGCAACTAGAAAGCATTTTATTTCTCAGTGATGAGTACCAAACCCTTTTGGAATCACTGAGAACATGGTTTTTATGGAGGCTGAGCAGCCGTTCTTTACGAACTGGAGGTGATTTTAAGAAGCTAACTCAGCTCTTTGATTTGTGAGTCCTTTAGCTCCCCATTTCTCCTTCCAGTAGCGTTCTTGCTAAGGACTGTTTGACGACTTAAAAACCTCCTATTAGGAACAATAATTTGACAGCTCACAAACTTCTGGGAAGTTTTTGATGATATAGGAAGATTAAATAATTGTTTAAAAATTTGTATGTCAATTTTATTAATAATTTTATTCTGAAGATTAAGAATTTAGTGTATCTTTATTCTACTGTACATTTATTCATCCTTTAGAAGGCTTAGAACCTCATCTTCATATCATAGTAACCAAATTTCTTATCTTTGTTCAGTTTGATTAATGGAAAAACCTCTCATTGAGGAAATAAATTGGAATTCTGATTTATCTTTTATTTTTGAGAGGTGCTGACAAAGTGCTGCTACATGCATTTGACGGCAGGCCATCTGTAGCCATGGAAGGAGTAAAAGCTGGGTATTTCTTCTCAATTCCTCCTTCTGTCATAAGAAGTGGACAGGTAAATTCTTTCATTAAACTTCATCTTACACTTTTGAAATACAATTCAAAATATGTGCTTTTATTATACTTGTGATACTATCCTAGTTACATTACAAAAATTAATCTTAGGTCCCTATCTTATGTCAGTATCATGCTACCATGATTACATTAAGTTTACTGTAAATTTTTTGAAGATTTAATTTATTTTATTTTTGGAGAGAAGGAAATGGAGGGAGAAAAAGAGGGAGAGAAACATCGATGTGACAGAGAAGCATCACATTGATCAGTTACCCCTTTAATGTGCCCCTACCAAGGACTGAACCCACAACCCAGGCATGTGCCCTGACTGGGAATTGAACTGGCGACCTTTCGCTTTGTGGGACAACACTCCAACCAACTGAGCCACACCAGTCAGGGCGATTTACAGCAAGTTTTGAAATCAGAGTAGTATGAGAATTTAGCTAGTTCTTTTTTTTCTTTTTTTTTTTTTTGTGATTACATTTATTAAAGCTGGGACATTGAAACAAGGAAGGGCATAGGACAGAACAAGAAACAGAAAGGCCAAGACAGGGTGCTTTGGCTCTCTAGAAACGTTATAGGAAAGAAATTGACCAACTCAGGGTACTGGTTCTTACTTTACTTCTCCTGTGTTCAGAAACATAAATTGTATGATTTTAAGTCTTCTGAATTGGTTGAGGTTTGTTTAATGACCCAGAATATGGTCTAGACTGGTGAAGAGAACATGCCCACTTAGAGAGAACGCGTATTCTCCTTTTGTAGGGTGGAGTGTTCTGGAAGTGTCAGTTGACAGTCCAAGATTATTTTGATTTTCCCTACTTCTATATTTTGTGGGAAAACTTCCTATTTAGTACTAACCTTTAATTTAGCTGTGGTGTATCTCATTTTCAAAACTAAAATACTACTTTTTTCTAATTTTAAAGATGATATTGGTACATTATAAGAAATTGAATACTTCCAAAAAGAACAGATTTTAAGTCAATCCAGATCCTACCACTCAACCATTGTTAACATTGATTTAGATAAAATAAGAAGATAATCATATTTTTTTGTTTCAAGTTAGTTTCATGACTATCTATTTGTGTCAATAAATATGGACCTATCTCATCTTTAAAATGATTTCATGATATTTCACAATGTGGATGTACCATAATTTATTTAAGCATTACTTGGAGTCAGCGATTATCGGCCGGTGTGCTGCAAGAATTTTTGGAACACGCAATACCTGACTATTTAGTTAGGGGCACTGACCTCTTTTCCCTTAGATTGTCAAATAAAAAAATGACATCAGCCAAAACACCAATAACTGTCTGGCGCAAATGAATCAAAATTATACCTATTTTTTGCCAGATCAGCAAAAATATATTTTTTGGTGTGCCACAGAATTTTAGTAATTACTTTGTGTGTGCTGTGAGATGAAAAAGGTTGAAATCCTTGCCTTTAGGAAAGGTTATGTTGTTTCTAATTTTTCACTGTTAGAAACAGTGCTTTGGTGAATACCTTTGTACATCCACAATACGTATGCTCACTTGTGCAGTGTTTCCTATCAATGGAATCATTCCGGAAAGGGTGTACCTTTTTAAATTTTTTGTTAAAGTGTTACACTGGTTTAACTTTTATCTACCAATGGCGCATGAGCATACTTATTTCTGTGCTTTTGAAATTTTAATCTTAAAACAATTTGTTATAGCAGTATTCTACTCTGCGTCATGTCTCCTCATTTTTTTACTTTAAAAGTGCAGTGGCAGCAAAAGAATTAAGTTCTTGGTATGAAACTCACTGAATTCATTGCAATCCTTATAATCCAGACAAAAAATTATAAATAAGAAAACCAAACCATCTACTATCCAATGTAAAATGTGGATATGAACTTTGGGTTTATAAACATAAATCCTTGAATGACTTAAAGTGAACAGAAGAGAGGAACACTGAGTGTGGCGGAGAAACAACCCAAGGCTCTTCCTTGGCTCTCTCAGTGGGCTGGCGGTGTCCCGTGTTTGGCCGTCTTGCAGCGTGTGCTTTGGTCACTACTCTTTGGGTCCCTGGAATGCTTGGATAGTTTTTGACAATGAATGTTTCTGTTTAAATCTGTTAGTAATAAAATGATGAGAACATAGTGAACATTTATTAAGTGAATATTAAAGCATGCATTTTAAGTTCTTGGAGAATAGAATGCATTGGTATGTGGATTTAATGTTCCTTTTTTATCTTCATTACTCATGTTTTAAACTTACTCGTTTTCTCTTTTCTCTAAGAAGCAGAAACTTGTGAAACAATTGCCTTTAACCTCAATTTGCTTGGAAACAGATTCACCTGTACTAGGACCAGAAAAACAGGTAGATGATTTTCTGATTTCTACATTATTTAGATAGTATCTTTCATTTGAGCTATTTTTGATTTAGCTGTGTTACTCATTACAATGTAAATACAATGGAACCCTATTTTAATGCTAGGTTCAGAGGTTACATTAACTCAATTTCAGGTCTTTTCTAAATATAATTTTTGAGCCCCAAAGAGTATTATTTGATTATGTAATAATGAGAGCCAGACCAATATAGCAGAAATCTTGGTGTCAAGAGTCAGAAAGACCTGGATTCAAATCCTGTCTCTGATACACTAGCTGTGTGACATTGGACAACTTATTAATCCCTCTGAAACTGTCTTCATTTATAAAATATGGGCAAAATAATAGTAAAATATTTTAAAGTATTACAGTGAGAATTAAATGCAGTAATGTATATGAAAATGCCTAGCCATATCTGGTATATAGTAAGAGACTCAACAAATGTTTATTTTTCTTTTCTTAATTAGCATATTATAATGAGGGTCTATTTTTTCCAGTACACGTATTGATGTAGTCATAGAATTGTTTCTGCGATCTTTGCTGTACTCTTGTTATTGTAAGCCACAAAGAATTATATTTTAAATATTGCTACTATTTTAAATTATACTCTTCTCAAAGGAAGCCACAGAATCTGCTTCATTTGCTTCAGTCAATACCCATTTCAGTCACCTCCCACTGTGTCATTACTGAAGGTCCCCACTGCCCCTCAGATCTGCGTCTCCATGCCTGTTAGACTCAGGGGTTAGGGAGCAGGATGATGTGACTGTTGATAAGCAATGATTATCTGTGATTGCAATGTGAATTTTGCTCACTAATGTCCAGTTAGTTACACATTTTTATAAATCAGCTCTTACAAGAATAGAGAAGACAGAGGAATGAGAAAATCAAGGAGCATGTCTGCAGTTTGTTTGGGTAAAGGACAGAATGGTACAGAATTGTCTTCCTGACTGATGTGAAAAAGAAGGAAAAGTATCTAGTGGGTTTTTTTTTTCCTAAACAGAAATGAATTTCAAGTGCTGTTGTAACTCACTTTTGTATTTTATATTTAGTTGATTTGATAAAAATTGTGAGTTTCTGGCATAGTGCCTTGCACATAGTACTCAAAAATATTGATTGAATAAATGAATTTTTAGGTGAATATGCATTTTGTTGAGTAAAATTTGTTTGTTCTAGAAAATTAGAAATCACATTAAGTCATAAACTAGAGAACAGAACCATCCACCACCGGAAGGTTAGTTGAGTGCAGGGGCTAAGAACACAAACGCTGGTGTCAGGGTGCACAGGTTCAAACCTCAGCCGGGCTACTCGCCAGCTGTTTGGGATCCTTTCTTACCTATAAAAAGGGATGCTAATGATAATACTACCTTCCTCATAGAGTTATTTTGAGGATTCACTAAGAAATTTCACAAAAAGCTTAGAACAAAACCTCTCCTATAGCAACCACTAAATAAATGCAAGTAGGTATGTCCTTCCAGACTTTTTATATTCACATAGATATACATATGTAATTTTCATAAAAATAGGATTAGCCTGAACTCCTCATTTCATAACTTCCTTTTACATGGTGAGCATCTGAAAATGTCAATAAATATACTTATTTGTCATGTTTAATAACTGTATAATCCAATGTGTGAATCTACCACAATATATTTAACATGCTATTGTGATTTGGGTCATTTTCAACATAGTATTATAAACAATATGATGAACGTCCTTAAACATAAATCTTAGCACACATTTTTTACTGTTTTCTTAGGCTACATTATCAAGATTATTTTTCTTAACCTTAATAGGTATCTTATTCCTCTGAACATTATTATCCTGGGTAGATCACTTAATAATAATGTATTTCACCAAATCCAAATGCAAAGTTTAGTGATTGTAAATGCACCACTGTTTTGTGACCATTAAGAAAAAAACACTACTAATTATACTATTTTGATATGTCATTGAGTCTAAGGAAAATATTTGTCAATTTCAGGGATGTTAAAATAGGGGGGGAAATGCATCTTATAATCAGATAAGTACTGGTACATAATCAGTGTAGTCTTCCAGGTGCATGATGGCTTTATTTTTTAAATCCTCACACAAGAATATTTGGGTGAGAATTTTAAAAAAAGAAAATCAAGACTGATTTTAGAGAGAAACATCTGTATGAGAGAGAAACATCAGTTGGTTGCCTCTTGGATGCTCCCTGACCCGGGATTGAACCCCAGCGTTCTGGCGTATGGGACAATGCTCCAACCAACAGAGCCACGTGGCTAGGGCTGGCATTTCTTGAATCAAGCTGTGATGTAGCTTGTGAGGTGAAGAGGCCAAGCAGCAGAGGTCTGACCTTTAAAAGCACTCAGTTAAGCAGCAAACAATGGGCAGCTAATCCGTCAGCCATGCAGGCCACCCAGTGCCCACTATTTGTAGACTGCTGGGTGCTGGGCCCTCGATCGTTAATACCCCAGGGCTCTTTTCAAGAGCAACATGCGCTTACAGTCAGTGTTGCAGCTATAGCTTTTAAGCTGAAGCTCAGGCCTTTCTCCCCAGCGTCACTGCCCTTCTCTATTCCCTTGCCCCGACCTCCATAAAAAAAAAGCTCATCGGTTGTTTTTACCAACTCATTTTCTTCTGTTTTATCTACAGTCTTCAAGGACTGCTTCTCTTGACAGTCATGTTTGATTTAGTGTCTGCTCTGTTCTGTTTCAGGTACGGAACGAACCCCAGAACATTTCCATTTCAGCAGAATATATTGCCCAGGTGAAAGGAATCTCAGTGGAAGAAGTCATGGAAGCAACAACACAGAATGCACTGAAACTGTTTCCCAGGCTTCAGCACCTGCTCCACAAATAGCTTCAAAACCAAATCAACTGCAGGGGGCAGCATTTGAGAAAAAGTAATATCTTGATTAAGAGTCTGAACTGAAGACCTGGAGAAGTCATTACATTGGGATAGAGAAGATTGCAATTTTAGAGAACTGTTTCTCTTAAAAGTAAAACAAGGCTTGGATCCTGAAATCCTGGGCTCTGATTCTACCTTGTGCTGCTTTTCAATTAACGGAATCCTAGCAGGAGCTCGGGATGCACCGCACTGCTTCTTACCCTTGCCCTGGTAAGTAGGACCAGCACGTGAATCGAAACCATTTCTCCTGGCAAGGGCGGCTCCCGCAGGCAGGAGATAGCGCCGCCGTCGGGGCCTTGCCCGGCCGGACGTTCATCCTTCACCACCCGGCCTGCTCCCCGTGGGCTCTGTCTAGCAGAAGGAGAGCTTCTAGTTCCTTTTACTGTTGGAAACCTTCCCTCTTCTGGATTTGTAAAATTGGACTTTTAAACTTGAATTCTGTCTTTTTAAGAGAAAAATGTACAAGATGTTATATTGGTCTTAGAGTTTAACTTAAGAGGCCAGTGTTTATGCAATACCATTAAATACTAAACTCAAAAAACTGATTTTAAGTTTCAGTCTGAATTTTGTCACATGTTTAAAATGTAAACAGCTTTCTTAAACTGGTACCTGATGTTTTCTGCCTATAGTAAAATTATATGTTTAAGTTTTAAAAATCTTATGTATAAAAAGAGTTCTGTGGATATATGTTGGTAGTGGTAACAAACCAATGTGAATGTCCTTAATTCCAGTGAACTATACACTTAAAAAATATTAAGGTGGTAAATTTTATGTTCTGTGCATTTTACCACAGTTTTTTGAAAAATCTTATGTGTAGTTTACCAGGTGTCATGATGCATACCAAAGCCTGAGTATTTAATTTTGTTTAATTATTTCAGTGGAAGATACTGAAAAAAGTACCTGTCATGGGAAAAGATTAACTTCCTAAAAAGCAAAATGATTTTCCATCATCTTCAGTGTTTTGAAATCTATAGAGAAACCGCAGTGCATCCTCGGGCGGATTGCCCGAGCTGAGGAGCTGCTGAGGGTGCTTTCCTGCCACCCGTCAGCATCGTGACAGACGAAGTTCCTGCACTTGCTGGGAGTTAATGGTAACACGAGACTCCGGAGCTCCCTTTCAATTCTTTCTTTTTCCTGTTTCCTACCTTTGGTCCACGTTCACTATGTTGAACTTTCCCCTTGAAGTCCTTTATGATCCAACTTAAATGACCTCACTTTACCTGATTATCCCAGCCAGAAATGATCCCTGCTCTCTAAATTGTAGCCATTGTTTTCATTTATTCATCAACTTACTGGTTTAATTTATTACACAAAGAGTTATTGAGCCCCTATAGTCCAGGTCACAAGCTCCAGAGAGGAAAAATATCACAATGTAATAAAGAAGATACACAAGTGACAAATAATTTCAAAGCAACGTGAGAAGTACCATGGTAAAAGAGGAAAAAAGTGCCATAAAACCAGTATGATAACACTTAACACATATTCCTTTTTAATAGGTTTACCTCGTGTATGTTTTTTATCTTTATAGATTTTAAACCTTTTGAGAAACTTCTTTTTTTTTTTTTTTGCTCAGCCTGACACAAGGTTTGTGATATCATATATTCTCACATGTCTTTTAAATAAGTGAGTGGAGGCTGTAAGTTCAACTGACTCTAGTTGAGAAGTCAAATATTTAATTTTTCAATCTGCCCTTTGAAATGGATATTGGATATTGTGTACCTTTTTATTGCTTTTTTTTGAGGTGCATATTTTCTTCTCTAGCCTACAAATATATTAAAAACTATTCAAAGGTTTCCTAATGTTAAACATTCTGAAAAATAATAATAAAGTCTCTTGATCTGAAAAAACAAATCTTGCATTCCATGGAAGTCACTTCCCCCAGCTGAAAAGCATCCCCCACCCCAAGACATGGTGACCTTCTTTACTAAAAGGAAATGTTTCTTACTCTGACTCTTGCCTTTTTTTATTCTAGCAAGAGTCAAATGAAATTATATCATTCTTTAAATAAAAAAAAAATATCAGCTCTTTTCTTTCATTATTATGCAACTGAGAGTTCATTTTCTCTCTTCACTGCTTGCTTGCTCTTGCTCACTACTTGTCTGTACTCATACTTCAGAGTTTAATTTTTTGATGTGCCTTTTTCATCCTTTTGATTAAATACGTCAAGGCAGCATAAATGACATTTCACGTACCAGATCTGAGTAACAGAAAGGATTTCTAGAGACACATGTATGCTTGTTAGAGCTTAACTTTTCAAGCATAAGCAAATCTCAGTGACCTTTTTAAATTACGGGAAAGCATGTGCTAATGATCACAAGTCAATCAAAAAGATAGAATGGAAAGAGATAACTCAGGGATTAGTAGTGTTACAAATTTAAACGTGGGGTTCCAGGCAAAACATCCTAGTAGGCCCTCTTCACCCCTCTTGTGTTCAGCTAACTCCAGAACAAGCACACATCTGCGAAAGAGGACTCCTTTGGCAGCCATCCTTGTAATTTGTGAACAATCTGAGTGGCATTTATACTTTAGATGTTAAAAATCATGCAAATAGCTTCTCATTTCCTAATTTATTTGTTTACTAGAATAAATACAGAAAACGCATAGCACGTAAAAGCATAAAGTGTTAGAAGTCTAGTGTCCTCTGTGTGGGCCTTTTCTATGGATCACTTCTGAGGCCCAAGTTATTGAAATAAGTGTAGAAATTTTCACAGCTAATGTATAATACATTTAGAATTAGAAATTTCCACTCTTTCCTAAAGAGCATGAGAGCCTCCCACTCCAATCTCTACATGATCTTAATTAACATCCTTCAAAAACCATCTTTAGGGCATTACAAATCGAGAACTCCGAATTTGACTGAATAGGCTGTAACTGAGGGAAGCAACAGAAATAGGAGAGGGGGGTCTCAAGATTGGATAGACATCTGACAGTCTTTTTTGGCCATCACAAATATATGAATTCCTTTCTTTGGTGAATTTCTCACCTTATTATAGTCCATTTCTACTGCAGAAGCTGAAAATACCAGGTAATCTCTCTCTCTTTTTTTTTTTTTAGCCTTTCTTGCCGCTAGGGCACTGATAATATAACCCACCCTAGATTTTTTTTTTTTTTTAATTGATGAGAGAGAGGAAAAGCTAGTATCTAGCTTTCCAGGCAACAAAATCCCAGTTAATTTTAAGGGATAAGATACAGGCAGTCCATAGCAGATGGTGTGGTCAATGTTGTGAAAGCATTTTAAAAAGACATCTTCATGGCAAGAATATGTGTCAGTTAGGGGGCAGCCCAAAGGGTACATTGCAATGAACATTTTTAATTCTTTTTCTTCACTTTTCCTGTATTTGTCCACAAGACTCACATGAAAACACTTAAAATAGAAGAAGAAGTCAAATGAAAGAAAGAACAAGAAAACTGGTCTCTTACCTTAATGAGGCAGAGCTCACCTTCCCCTCTGCCTGGACCCTCCCTTTGGACACATCTTCCATGCCAACAAAGAAATTCAGCCCCCCCCCCCCCCCCCCCGCCATAGCCTGCGAGACCCTCTCCAGGGACGAAGCATTGGATTGGCAGCAGTGGCAGGCCATGCTGAAGTCTTAGTTCTGAGTACCAGGGATGCCCCAGGGAGCCTTCCTGCACAGGCATTAGTGGCCTTGACTTGGGAAGTCCCCTGCAGACAGCTCTGCAGGGAGCCAGAGCAAAAATGGAGCAAATGCCTGCCTGCCCATCCCCCTGCATTTACTGAGGGAGCGCGTGCATCAACAGCTCTGAAACACTCCTGGGAGGCATGGGGAGGTGTCTGGACATAATGTGATTTCAGCTAGGGCCCCCAAAATACAGTTTTTTGACTTTTCAGTTTCTCTCTTTGGCCCAAGGCTGTTGCTGTTATAAGATGTAGAGAGGAGGACAAAGCAGAAACACCTAACTAAAGGAAAGGAGGTAGGGGAATAAAAGCTTCCAGGAGGAGGTGGTATTTAAACTAAAGTTGGCCCTGACTGGGCAGCTCAGTTAGTTGGAGTATTGTCCGGTCAGGACACGTACAAGAATCAAACAGTGAATGCACAAACAAGTGGAACAACAAATCGATGTTTCTCTCTGTCTCTCTCTGTCTCTCTCCCCCCCAACACCTCTCCCTTTCTCTCTCTCTAAAATCAATCAATCAATCAGCTAACGTTATCCAGATGAAGGGGAAAACAGAATAAAGCGGAGAACCACAAGTAGTTCCATAAAACCAGGGAGAGGTTCACCCAGGGAGGAGCTAGAAGAGGATTATCAAGAAATGAGATTAGAAGGTTGTTCATTGTATTATACATAACCTGACACTCATTTACTACATGTTTATTCTCTGAGATTCATCTTAGATTGAGTCAAAAAAATGATGCTGTATTTGATAGTCTTTATGTGGGCAGCTAAGTTCTGGTAGATAATTCTCCATAGGTGTCTCACATTTCCATGTGTCTCAGGAGCAGAAATGCTACAGCTTTTGCCCCAGACTATCTCTTCAAGGATGTTTGTATGGCCAAGGGCCTCGGAGGACGGAGATGTCTCCCACTGGACCAGAGGGCAGGTTTATTTACTGACCAGTGTAATAAAGAGAATGTCTTCTTCCAGGCAGAGCTTGGGTTTCTTAAGCTCCAAGGTCTTCAGCCATGAGGCAAACCCTCTGTGTGTATGTCCTGGGTCTGGCCAGTTCCATGTCATTTGGGAGGAGGATGGGGGGACCAGTCAGAACATGAGGCTTGTGCTCCTGGCTGTGCTCCGTGTAGTCAAGTCTTTTGCCTCTGAACAGAGTCTTCTGTCTTCTGTCAACAACCATGACCTGCGGCAGGCTAACCCTTCATAGCTCTTGACACTAGATCTTTTTTCTTTCTTTCTTTCTGGGTTTTTTTTGAGAAGCAAAATTTAACCTTTGGTTTGGATTTTTTAATACACCATCAGGGCCGATGGGCCCTGGTGCAGTCCTAGCTGAGATAGGGTTTTAGGCTAGTTGACCAATCCGTATGCCTTCCAACATTAATATGCTTTGGCTTGTGAATCTGTGCTTTCTACGGAGGGAAAGGGCAACCAAATAAAAGGTGAATATTTCACTGATGTAAAGATAAATGCAAAGAAGTAGCTGGGTTCCCAGCCAAGTAGTACTCAGCTTGCCATATGGAATAATAGGCTATTAACTCAAACTGCAAAATGGAATACAGGCCAAGTTAAAATCAGAAAATTAGCCTGCTATCCAAGAAGGAATGACACAGAGACGATAGTAGCCAAATAGGATTTGGTCACGAGATAATTCTAGCAATGTCTGCCTTAGGAATGGGCAATAAAATACAACAATAGGCTCCATTTATAGGCCTGTTATTACTCTCTCAAATATGTACTTATTCAAATGATCAGAATCATAGCTCTACAGAGTTAATGCAATTAAGTATTTAGAAGCAAGCTGTTAATTTTGAGAACTTTAGCCTTCTACTTGATGAGTGTAGTTGGTCAACACTGATGTATAGAAACAAACAAACTAAACATTTTCGATTAATAAGAAGAACATCACTGTAAAATGAAATTTTAGGCAATACATCTTTGAAATCTTTGATGACTCAAATCCTTGCTTTAAAACATCTAACCGATAGAATGGAATACATGAAGATACAATACATTTTTTTATGACTTAACAAAATGTTTTCTTGTTGATCTAGCAAATAATTTTGGCTTCTTTTATAATTAATATTTGTAAATAGTTTAGACAGACACTGAAGAAGGATCAAAGAGATGGTATTTTTTTGTGTCTTTGGGGATGCATTTTATCCAAATATAGCATTATCTGGAAAGAAAAAAAGAAGTACTTGTTATGCAACTTACAATACATTTCACAGATTTCAAAATAACCCTGAGGGCAGAGAGGATGAGTCCTGTTTCACAGATTTGGAAAGGAGGATTTAGCAACACTGAGTGACTAAAGGCATGAGACTAGTCAATGGCAGACACAGGACATGAACCCATGTGCAATGGACTGAATGTTTGTGTCCCCCCAAATTCCCGTGTTGAACCCTTGATCCCAGTGGGACGGCATTAGAAGGTGGGGCCTTTGGGAGGTAATTAGGTCATGAGGGTAGAGCCCTCATGAATGGGAATAGTGCCCTTATAAGAGGAGGCCCGAGAGCCAGTCAGCCCTTTCTGCCTGTGAGAGGGCGCAGCAAGAAAGCAACCGGCCCTCTAGCCGCCAGGACGAGCGCCAGTGCCCAGAGCCTGACCTGACCCTGTCACCTCAGGCTTCCATCCTCCAGGCTTCCAGACCTGCGAGAAGTCAATTTGTTGTTTAAGCCACCAGTGCGGGATCATTTTTTTACAGCATTCCAAGCCAGGACACTCAGGTTTTCTGTTTTCAAGGCTAGTGTCTTTGAGTAAGACTGCCCTTCCCTTGGTGTCCACACCTCTAGGTGGAAGGGTGAAGAGAGAGCTTGGTGAGGGGTTGTAGGGTCTTGGGAAGTTCTATTTAGATAGATAAGTCATTTCCGATGACTTGGCTTTTGAACAAAGATCTGAATAAAACAAGGGGGAGAGAGAGAGAGAGAGAACACTCCGGACAGAGGGAACAGGAGGTTCCAAGTCCCAGAGGTGGAAACCAGAGTGATAGCATCCCAGGAATAGGAAGGAAATCATCGTGACCACGTGGGGTGAGGCCAGGGAGAGTAGAAGAGATAGGACTGAAAAGATAAGCACACGGGACCAGGAGTGGATTTTATCCTCAGTGCAATGTGGCACCATGGATGAGTTTTGAGCTTCAAGTGATGTATCTAATATATGTTTTTAAAAGGTCACTCAGGCTGTTACGTGAAGAACTAAATGTGGGAAGTAGCTGGATTGGAGGCTGCGGGACAGTTGATGTCTCTGCTGTACTTTGGGAGAGAGGTCATCATGGATCGGATCTGGGTGGTAGCAATGGTCAGATTCAGGATTAATTTTGTTAGAAGAGTTGACGGAACTTCCCTACAGATTGGATGTGGGATGTGAGACAAAGAAGAGAGTCAAAGGTACTCCTAGGTAGTTGGCCATTTTCTGAGATGAGGAGGGGTCAAGGGTGAGGATTCGTGTTGGGGGAAGGAGGATAGGAGTTTTCTGTTTTGGCAATGGTACGTTTGAGATAACATCAAAGAGCGCTGGCAATCTGATGCATGCAATCAGATAGATGTGTCCAGAACTCAAGAGAAAGGTCAGGGCAGAAATAGAAATGTGGGAGTCATCAAAATAGAGATGAGACTTTAAGCCCTGTTACAGGCCAAAGGTCAGGTGGGAAGAAACGAGGTGTGGACGAGAAGGCTCAGTGTTGAGCGCTGGTGTTCTCCCCCGTTCAGAGGACAGAAGAGGGCCATCTTATATAAAGAGGATGCTCTCTTGTAGTTAATGATGTTTATCATTTGATTCACTGCATACAGCTGAAGGCCTACTAGAGTAATATGCTCATCAACTTCAGATTTACTGTCCCATCTCCTTTTTTTACCACTGAGGGTTTCCTCTTTGTATCTGCTGGCCTCCTGGAGGAGGGGGTGCTCTGTCATCTCTGCTGTCTATGTGGCAGACCCAAGCTTCTGGTCTGCTTTGGGCTAAGTTCTCTTTTGGGGTGAGTTCACTTTTGGCTGCCTTGAAGCCAAGGCCTCCAATATATAATAGATTTATTTTCCAGTAACGAAGCCAACAATTTTTACCTCCATCTATCTCTCAATTGATGTAAACCCAAATTAGCAACAGAAGTGTTGTATTAGTGACTTTTTCACACCTTAACAGTATTCAGAATAAAGTAGACACCCCCCCTGCCAAAAAAAAATGTTAACACCCTTTTCTAATACCCAGGTACTTTCCACTTGTGGAAATAAAAAGAAAATAAGTGCCAATATCCCCTTTCTAAAAATCCCTGATTAAAATTAAAGTTGAAACCAAAGACCGTAAATTTAAAGTACAGATTAATGAGAAAACCCTGGGGGAGAAATGTTAATAAGTTTGTGAATACACAGCACTGGATCAAAAAAGTACCATTTGTTAAGATGATTGGTTTTCAAACTTGCTTGTCTCAGGATCCCTTATACCCTTAAAAATTATTAAGGAGCTTACCAAGCTTTACCAATTATTACCAAGCTTTTGTTCATGTGTGTTGTCTTTCTCAGTGTTTACCACATGAGAAACCAATACTGAGGAAAAATGTAAAACTCAAGAATACAAGTCTTGATTCATTAATGGTCAGGGTAATGGTGTTATTATATATCTTACTGCTCTGGAAAACCCCAGTTTATTCCCATGAGAGCATGAGAGTAAAAATGCAAAATAATATCTCGGTATTATTATTGTCACCAGATGGGGACCGGGCCGAGTCTACCTCAGCCCAGGGGATAGTATGTGGGTCCTTGACATTGTGTAGGAAAGGTTTAACAACACACGTCCAGGTGATTTTCAGAGTGTATTTATTGGCGCTCTCTTCTGGGAGCATGCCCACCTCTCTTCCCTCTCAGGCGTGCATCTCCTGAACTCCAGGTGTCCCCATGAGACTTACGACCTGGAGAGCTGTAGGCAGTGGCAGCCCGTCCCTGGCTTACCCCCTGAACCTGTCCTCAAGGCCCCTTTTCTCTGACTTTTCAATGAACCAAAGCAGCCCCGCCCAGGCCCTCTCCTGTTGCTTCTTCTAGCCTAAGCCTTTCTTTATTTCACCGCCCCGGCTTTGACAATCAAAATCAAAAAAACAAAAATAGTGTATTCATTAAAGCTGGGGACAGCCAGAGTTTAGGAGAAAGAGAATAAAAAGTTCACATCTGTGATAAGACATGGCATGCTCCAGAGAGAGCCCAGTGCTGGCGTCCTTTGTCTTGAGGGCTGTTGCTTCTCTTTTGCAGCTGGGAACCCAAGGGAGTTCTCAGGGGTGGGTTTTAGCAGAATATTCTTCAGTTTTCTGGGTGTGTTCTTTAATATGTTGATGTGCCAAAATGAGTGCATAGAGGGACCAGCTTTGCCTCCGTCTTAAATTTGTTTGACTCTCATTGGGTTTTTTGTTATTTATTCCCCTGACTTCTTCCCTCCTTGGGCTTGGCTGGCACTAATGGCACTAATTGGGTCTCTGTTATCCATCTCCCTGACCAGGATGATTTAAGCTATTTAGTCTGGTTAGGGAGGAGAGGTGTAAACAATTCCCTCTCAAGTGTCCTTGGTTAGGGAAGAGAAGACCTTGCCCTCTACTAGCCAACTGTAAATTGCTTGACTTGTTTGACCTTATTTGTCTAACCATTTGCCTCAGCTTCCCTCTTCCCACTTGTCAAAAACATTCCCCTGACATATGCCCTCATCGGTGGGCTCAGTTGGTTGGGCATCGTCCCATCAATCGAAAGGTCACCAGTTTGATTCCCAGCCCGGGCACATGCCTAGGCTGTGGGTTCGGTCCTTAGTTAAGTCACATATGAGAGGCATCCAATTGATGTTTCTCTTCTTCTCTTTCTCCCTCCCTTCCCCTCTTGATAAAACAAAACAAAACAAAACAAAAAAAACCAACAAACAAATGAATATTTTTTAAATTCATTTTTAAAAAGAAAAATTTTCTCCTACCATCTAATGATCCTGCCTCATTATGAAAATAGCTTTGACCTCACGGACCCCTGCAAAAGATCCTGCAAAAAAAAAAAAGTACCCAGGGGTGCCCAGACCACCTTTTAATAACAACTAGTTTAGACTAATTAAAGAAAGAACATGTATTTGCATGCCAATTACTGTAACATTTAAATTAGGTCTATACTTATTCTACATGTCATCATCATAAAGTTGAGTTTCTGTTTAAGTCTGTTAACTTAAAGGGAACAAAGAGCTTCTCTGCAATATTTAAAGGTTTATTTTAGTGTTCCAGAATTATAACCTTGATATCATTTATGTTGGTTATGGAAATTATATTTGTTAGACTCTGTTTGGTAGAAAACCATGAGTATGCCCGCGAAGTGGTAAACTATATTGACTATGTTGGTCATAGGAGGTGAATTTTACCTTTCACTATTAAACTTGTGAGAATTAACTTACTAGCTGTGATTTAACTCACCCAGCTCCAAGTAACTCAACCAGAATAAAAAGATAACACTTAAAATTAGGAACACTTAAGGCATTCCTCCTTGTAAAAGAGTTTACATTTTAATGTAAAATAAACACAGGACTATACAGATTAACTGTAAAACACAATGGAGAATCTGACACTTCCAGGCCGTACAACTTCATCCTTTCAACACCGCCTACTAGGAGCACGTGGCAAATGCGAAGTCACAGCCCCTTATCAAAGAAGCTAAATCTCCAATATGGCGATTCTTTTGTTTCTGACCTACCTTGTCATTTTTTAAAAGATTTTATTTATTTATATTCAGAGAGGGGGAGAGGAGGGAAGAAAAGAGGGAGAGAAACATCAATCAGTTGCCTCTGGCACATCCCCAACTGGGGACCTGGCCCGCAACCCAGGCTGAGCCCTGACTGGGAATTGAACTGGTGATCTTTTGGTTCACAGGCCAGTGCCCAATCCCCTGAGCCACACTAGTCAGGGTACCTTAATCATTTGTTGGTTGCATTTAATATAATTATACTCTCCTTTTTTTTTTTTCAAATAAATGGAAAAAACATCATTCTCTTTTTCCTCCTGCAAAATAATACCACCATTGCACATCCCTTACCCCAACCTCCCTCCACATTTTATTACTGTTTGGGGGGGGCCTTTTGTTTAATATTTTCAGCAAAATCATTTCCATTTTATCTCAATTTTGCATGTGGAATTTTTGCAGAGGCAGCAGAAATTGGTGAGCTAGGAGGCCTCCTGAGTTTTTGTGGTCTATTATAATGACCTATAACAACTTTTCTCAAAATACGGCTCTCAGGCCATCAGCATCAGAATTGTCTCTGCCTGCTCAGAATGCAGGCCCCAGGACCCAGACTAGAGCCTAGGGGATGAGGAGCCTGGATGAAGAGCCTGGGATTCTGGGACTACAAGAAAATGGGACTCTTTGGTCTCTGGTCCTCCATCAAATAGCCTAGTTTACTGATGCTTTTAACTTTAGACAGTCTGCCTTTAAGTTATCCCAGAGCAATACTTATGAACCTGTTTTAACGCCAGAAATTCTCCCTAAATTTATGTATAAATCCCTCCAGTTGATTGGGAAGGACTCCTACCCACAGCATCTTACTCTTTGGTGGAAAGTGCCTTTTCTCCGTGTGAACAAGGACGCTCAGTTTGACCCAGGAGCTCCTGCCACTGTCGGGAACAGGCTCTTTGGTTTGGGTGTGACTACAGGAATTACAGGCACCACTGAAGTGCCTCTTCTGAGGTCTCAATAAGCTGACTTGATTGCTTCTTTCCACCAAGCAGTTGGACTCACGCTTTTCATTTATTTCCTTCAGGAGATGTTGCATGTCGTCTTTAATTTTTGTAATTCTTTCATTGGTTCTGTTTATAGATGACATTATGCTGACAAACTAATCATCAGGTGCTTCTTGGTGTCCTGCAAACAAATGAAAAAAATACCATCAGTTGCCTGCTTGATCCAGAAGCTACTACTGTTCGCAATCAGGTATTATCCTGTTTTCTCCCCTCCTGCAAGAGACCCCCAACTGCTGCGCGCTCCCCCATCCCACACCTCACTCCATTTTTCATTATTGTTTGCTAAGGTCTTTCTGTTTGTTGATGTTTCTTCAGGGGGAAAATAGTTCAGAGAAAAGGTGTAGTAGAAGAATGCATTTTGGTTTTTACATATTATGCATTGATTCTTGCTCTTAGGAAGTTTTGTTGTCTCTTCTGATTATAAAAATAACATATATTTATTATAGAAAATTAAGAAAATGCAGAAAAGCATAAAGAAGAAGATCTAAATTCACTCTTGATCCAGAGACAACCAAATTCACATTTTGGATGTTTCTTTCCCAATAAATATCCAAAAAAAAAATTATTATAAAAAGTATAGAAAAAGACATTAAATTGACTATAGTAGAACATGAAATTTTAAATATATAAGGGTTGTTAAGTATTTGGGAAGATTTTGCTTGTTGAGACTATACACTTTTCAGGTGCTTGAAGTGTGTACAAATCAGATTAAATTTACAAAGGAAGTTTAAAGTATTTAAAGGACTTGAATTAGCTGAGTTTATAAATGGACTGATTTCAAAGAAGTGTTCAGTCTTTTCAACTTGGGTTAATTTCAGAAAAAATAAGGATGATAATACTTTATACAAAAGTAACTCAATTTATAAATAGAATACAAGAATCATTAAGGTTGGCAGAAAGGATTTTAATGTTTTAATTTTGAAAATCACTGTTATTGAAAATCCAAGAAACTACAAATAGTCCATTCTACACAACAAAGTCTATCTCAGACATTAAAAAATAATAATCTCACATTAATATTTTATATAGATGAACACAACTTCCATTTATTTAAATGACTATATAGGGTGGGCTGGATTATTAGACAAACATCATAGTGAAAACTACTAAAAATTCTGGAGAAAAATATTTTTTAAAATGTGTTAATAATGAAATGACAAGAGATAATGAAATATTAGGACCAAAATGAAGAGAACAAAAGAACTAGAACCCAGAGAAGGAGCCGGGACCTGGGTTTGCCCTGAGGATATTTTCTGACCCCAAAGGGTTAGAGAATTAGTTTTGCTAGCTGTGTGGACAACATAAAAACCAAAGCCCAAAGCCTGTGCACAGTGGGGGGTTTAGAGAAGACTTTTCCTATATTAATCTGGGACCCAAAGTGTTAGCCCCTCAGGATAAGAGTGAACCAGATATAAACTCGCTTTTCATCACCATCTTGCACGGTGAATGTTGTCTTAGCACTAAGCATAGCTCTGGGGGAAAATTCACTCCACACCCCTCCATGAAAAGTTGTAAGCACTAGCTAACTCCTGTGCATTTTCAGCCCAAAATCACAACCAAGGTGGTTACAAGAAATGTCAGGCTCAGAATTTAGCTAAAGGGGTTTCTTTCCTTGCTGGGAATAAATCCAAGTGCCTGACAGAAGCAAGCTCAAATCTTTCCTGGAAGAACTTCACCCTAGGCCTCTAGGAATCCCCACCAATAATTTTTCAAAGACGACAACTAGCACACAGCCGAGGGTAACCAATCAAGCACACCCGTAAGACATCCTGAAGTAAGGACAGAAGAAGCAAACCCATGAAATCTACATTCCTTAGAAACATCGGACAGACTATAGAGCAATTACACACACTTCATATAAAGAAATAAGAAAGCACGTTTTCTACTATCTTCAGGAACCAAGAAACCAAAAAGAATTTCTAGAAATGAAAAATGTTTTTAAATAAATCAAAAACTCAGTGTCTGGGTTCAGCAGCAGACAAGGAAGGATTCAGATGAAGAGAGAATTAGAGAACTAAAGGGTAGATCAGAAGTAATTATCCTGATTGCAGCACAGAAGGACAAAAAGATAGAAACTATGAGAAGTGAAATATGTGGAAGACACAGTGAGAAGGTCAAGCTTATGTGGAATGGGACGTCCAAAGGACAAGAAGGAGGCAGAGGCAAAATTTAGAAAAATATTTGAAAAATATCCAAAACTGATGTATGACATCAGTACATAGACTCAAGAAGCTCATATAACAAGTCAGGAGTTTTTAAAAATCCACACTTACAGTGAAATTTAAAAAAGAAAGAACTTAAAGAAAATCTTAAAATCAATCAGGGAATAAGAGGCAGAACAGTTGGGCCCTGACCTAGTAGCTTAGTTGGTTAGAGGTTTGTGTTGATACACCAAGACTGCATTCAATCCACAGTCAGGGCACATACAAGAATCAACCAATGAATGCATAAATAAGAGGAACAACAGCTCTGGCTGGTGTGGCTCAATGGATTGAGCGCCGGCCTCAATCCATTGTGAACCAAAGGGTCTCCAGTTCAATTCCCAGTCAGGGCACATACCTGCGTTGCAGGCCAGGGCCCCAGTAGGGGGTGCTCAAGAGGTAACCACACATTGATGTTTCTCTCCTCTTTCCCTTCCCCTCTCTAAAAATAAATAAATAATTTTTTTTTTAAATATTAGCAGAACAACAAATCGGTTTCTCTCTCTCTCTCCCTCTCTCAATAAGTAATTTTTTTTTTTAAAAAGAGGGGCAGTTGGACTAACACCCAACTCCTCAACAAGCAACAATAAAAGCTATGAAACAGAGAAATTTTATTTTCAATGTGCTGAAGAAGTTATATTGATGGTAGGTCAGCATATAAAAAGATATTCAGCATCATCCATCATGAGGGAAATGTAAATCAATACTGCAATAAGATACGATTAGGTACCATTAGGATGGCTGAAATTTAAAAGACTGAGCAAATCAAGTATTGATGAAGATGTAGAGGATCTGGAACTCTCACCATTGCTGCTGAGATTGTAAAATGTACAACCAATTTGGAAGATGGGTTGGCAGCTTCTCAAAAAGTTAAACACACAGTTACCATGTGGTCCACTCCTAGGTATTTACCCCTCAACAGTGAAATTCTCCATACAAGTGTATGAAGAAATTATTTGTACATACAAAAACTGGTACATAAATGTTCACCACAGCTTTATTTATATGAGCCCAGAAGTTCTACCAACCCAAGTGTCCGTCAACACCTGAATGGATAAAAAATTGTGGTACATCCACACGATGGATACTACTCAGTTATATACAAAAGGAATGGATTATTGATACACACAATAACATGGATGGATCTCAAAATAATTATAGCGAATGGAAAAGAGCCCGACATAAAAGAATATATCCTGAACTATGCCATCTGTATAAAATTTGGGGAAATGGGAGCTACTCTGCAGTGACAGAAGGCAGATCAGTGGTCGTTCGGTAGCAGGGGGAGGCTGCAGACAAGGGCTGCAGGCAGGGCTTACACAGGGCCCTGGGTGAGCTTTGCGGGGCCATGAATATGTCCATTATCTTGACTGTGGCAATGGTTTCATGGGTGTCTGCGTATGTCAAACCTTGTCAAATTCTATAATCTAAACATATGCAGCTTATTGTGTATCAGTTAAATTTCAATAAAGCTGTCAAATAAAAATGGGATCAGCCCCTAGCACATTGCCTAATGCCTATCAGCTCGTTGAATGCAATGAAAAGTATATTATTTAATGAGTCTTGATATCTTTTCACCTGAAATTAATTGTATCATGAAAATTTTTCATGTCATTAGTAATAAAGGATGCATGCCTGATGAGAGTGTAGTAATCCTATGGACTCACAGTAATTTATTTGATTCGTTTCTATTATTGTTAGACTTTTTAGGTTGTACTCTTTGAACACTACACTTTGAAACACACTGAAGTGACAAAAACGACACAAACACACATTGTTTTAGGAAACCCGCCAGTCATCAGTTTTTCATTCCTAAATTCACGAAAGGAGAACAGGTATATTTGCAAAGTTCTCTGGCTAACAGATGAATCTCACAAGTGTTTATACTTGGAGAAAATTGTTGTCCCTGTACAAAAAGGAAGTGCTCTAAAGGAGAATGGAATTTGGCCCTTTTTTCTTTTCCCCTTGCCAGATCTACAAGGAAGACTAGATTATCTGAAAGATAGTACAGAGTTGTCTTAGGCAGTTATTGCTACAATAACGCTGCAAAACTCAGCATCACACAGTAATAAACATTTATCCTCGTGCCCAGTGGTGGGTTGACTGATCTAGACTGACCTAGGCTGGTCTCAGCTTTGTACTTGAGGGGCGGGCTGGGATTGGCTTCTGGCTCAGAGTCGAACTTAACTCTGCCCCCAAAATGTGAGGACTGGGAGAAACGAGAAAAGCTCTTTTTCTCTAGTCCAATGCTTCAGACAAGGTCTAACTTTTCTATACTCACTTGTTTCTGGGAATTTTAACAGAAACAAAATGAGCTTTGGTTTTTTTAAGGTGAAGGATATGAGAAGAAAATAAGCTATTTTTAAAATTCTGCATTGCAGTTTAATTTTGCCATTGCTGGCATGTACAGCTTTTTTGTTTTATAGTCCTGTTTCCAGTCTCCTTGGAAAATCCATGGGCTTAGGCATCATATCTTTTACAATAACTTTTGGAGTTTGAGCTCACTATAATTCAGGAGCCCCATAAAAAGCAGTTGATCAATTGACCTTCTTAAAGGTATAAATCCAGAAATGTTTGCTCACAATATAAAAGATAATGTATAACCCACCATAAAATGATCCCTTTGCATTCAAGTGATTTAAGTACATAGCAGGCAAGACATCAGTTACAGAAGTGAAAAGAGAAGATACCTTTTCTACTCTGGATCTTGAAAGATTAAATTGAAGGAAAACAAAATATTTTACACTCAACACTAAAGAATTATACTAGCCTCACCCTTACTGGTGTGGCTCAGTGGGCTGGGCATTGTGAGTTAGATTCCCAATCAGAGCACACGCCTGGGTTGTGGGTAAGGTCCCCAGTTGGGGCACCTACGAGAGGCT